TTTGATTATATCATTGTATACAGTGACATCAAAGTGTTTGTCAATTATTTCTGATAAGAAATTCTTAACAAAACAGATGTCCTTGCACACATCACTAATAGCAAGATATTCAGCTTCAGTGCTAGACAAGGCAGTACATCGCTGTTTTCTGGCTTCCCAATTTATGACATTTTCACCTAATTTAATGACATAGCCAGTATATGACTTGCGGTCAGATAAGTCATTCGCCCAATCGGCATCTGCGAAGGCATTTATATTACAATTACTGGTTTTTACAAAGAAAAGACCAAAATTAATTGTTCCCGCCAAATACCTAAGTACTCTCTTAGCAGCGCGCCAATGGCTTACATCAAAACACGTACTATACTGACTTAGCTGACTACAGGCATATGATATATCCGGACGAGTGCATACAGACAAGTACATAAGGGAGCCTAGTAGTTCTCTATACTTATACACATCATTTTGTAAATTATTTACTCCAGACTTATCCAGTTTGCAGTTGACCGGCAATGGTGTGGATACATGTTTACATTCACTCATATTAAACTTTGCCAATAAACGCCTTATGTAATCAGATTGATCAAGGATAGTTATATTTTGAGTTTTAGTAACATTCATGCCTAAACAATTTTTCAATTTCCCTAGATGTCTAACTTCAAAGTTTTGAGTTAATAATGATACAATTCTTTCAATACATCCATTGTGAAATACATAAATATCATCTACATACAAGGCAAGAATTACAAACTCTTCTTTAGTTTTCTTTACATATACACAAGGTTCACATTTACTTTGCTTGTAACCATTTGCACATAGTAGGTACATTATTAATTTTAATATTCCACATGCGACTAGCCTGTTTTAGGCCATACAAGCTTTTCCTCAAAAGACATATCTTATTTCTATTACTTTCTAATTTAAAACCAGTTGGCTGTTCCATATATATTACTTCATCTAACTCGCCATTCAAAAAAGCGGTAGTGATATCAATGTGATCCATAGACAAGTCTGATTTGAAATACTAATCAAAATTCGTAAAGTTGAATGCCGGACTACAGGTGCAAAAGTGTCCGAATAGTCTATACCTTCTTTTTGACTATAACCACAGGCAACTAGTCTAGCCTTAAATTTAATAAATTTACCTGTTGCATCAAACTTTTTCTTAAAAACCCATTTGTTTTTGACAATGTTAGCGTTTAAAATACCGCTAAATAACGGTATTTACATAGAGATACCTGCCATATCGTTATGATTTGGTAGCGTTAAATTAGTAACATAACATAATTATAACTTTACACATATTATAGTGCTATAATTTCGCGTATTGTTAACGTTATATTAAGCGACGTTGCCGTTTTGTTTTTGTCTACCTACTAGCTGCCAAGTCGTTTTTTCCGATTACTTAAATGGTTTTATGTAAAATGTCAAATCTCCACGTAAACCTACATTACTTTATTTTATTTATTACAACCTACAGTATTATGTGTATAGGGTGATTTTTGGAGTGATGAATGAGTTTTAACTCTGATCTTAAATCATTTTTTTATTGTATTATAAAAAATATTACTGCGCCATAACTCTCACCGGTCGTGTTGAGTAGTCGTCCCACGGTACTATACACATAATACTGTAGGTTGTATATATATGTTATTTAGTGTAGATAATATTACATTGTTATATATAATAATAATTAAGCCACATTTATTTCATATCTTAAAATTTACATTCAAAAGTTGTTAGTTGTTGTTAGTATGTTTGCTAAATCTAGGTTATTAGTATGATGATTATTCTTTTTTATTTGTTCCGAGATATGGATCCCTGTTTGGTTGAAGGCCTCCTCCAGCTCCTTCCACGCTTTTTTATCTTTGCCAATCTCCATCCATTGTTCTCCTGCCACTTTCTTTATCTCATCAGTCCACCGCTTTATAGGTCTTTCGATTCGATAGTCCACCTTTTATCAGAGTATCGTGAAATGTGACCAGCCCAACTCCACTTTAATGTCAGTGCATGTGTAAGTGCATCGGTAATCTTAGTTTTCTGTCTGATTATGTCACTTCTTATTTTCTGTACTTTCCTTATCCTTAAAATACTTCTTTCCATTGCTCTTTGATTGCTCCTTATCTTGTGTTTAACTTTTTCTGTAAAGGTCCAATTTTGGCAGCTGTATAATAGACTTGGAAGCATACATGTGTCCATTACGACTTTCTTCATAAGTAAACTGTAGTTACCTTTTAAAATTTCTTTTAATGACCAAAATCTCTTCCACGCAATAGTTAGTCTTCTTGCAACTTCTTCTTCATTATTAGTTTTACTAAAAGAAACTTGTTTTCCTAAATAAATGTAATATTCGACATAGTCTATGATATTTCCTCTTACTTTAATAGGTTCTTTAACGCTGTTGGTCATTACTTTAGTCTTGCTGGCATTCATTTCTAAGCCGACTTTTGTACTTTCTTTGTCAAGTAATTGCATCATGTCCTCTAAGTCCTTAGGTGTTTCAGCTAGTAGTACTATATCATCAGCGAACCTTAGATGGTTTAAGTAACGACCACATATTTTTATACCTTTTTGTGACCAGTCTATATTCCGAATAATGTTCTCAAGGACAGCAATAAATAATTTAGATGATATGGGGTCACCTTGTCTAACACCTCTTTCTATATCAATAAGTGTTCCTCTAGATTCAAGTTTTACACAGCTTTGACTATTCTCGTAAATATAATATGTCAATATGTTTATATATTTTTGATCTATTCCGAATATTTTCAAGGCGTTCCAAATTGAATGGTGACTTATACTATCGAAAGCCTTGCTATAGTCTATAAAAGCCATGTATTGTAATGCGGGAACTTAATGAGACAACTGTTTGGCTCCAAGGTTCGTTTAATACTCTCTTAATTATAACAGGTCGTACAATATATAGGTATCGGGGAGGCTTATACACATACACACTACATCTCCCTCGGCATTTTGAAAAAAAAAATAAGAATTTATATTTTTTTTGTTACAAATTTCATCTTTGTATAGGTACTTCATTAATCTTTACATATTTGGAAATATATCACATAATGTAATTTAATTATTATTTAATTAATACAGAACTTACGCAAATATAAATTACATTTGCATGACATAACAGGTAACAGGAAAATATATCTATATAAATTAATAATTCATAAGGTAAATAATAATAGTAGTACTAATATATTATTTTAAAATTTTTGAATCTACAATTTAAACCAAATCATCCTAAAATTTTGAATAGTTAACAAAAATATTTAATGTATCATCAGTATGCACTTGTATGCATTCGTTAAATAATAAATTATTTTTAATTTCACTTTTATTCAAGATTCTACTAGCATAAGCTAAAGGCAAATCTTCCGACCCTGAGCCTTGAGATAAAACGCTTCCTATTGCGTAATTACTAGCATCAGTAGTTAAATTAAAAATTTCAGAGAAATTTGGGTATTGTAGAATAGGTTCCTCGCATAATTTTATTTTTAATGTCTCAAATGACTCTTGTTGTAAGCTTGTCCAAATAAAAGGTTCGTCCTTCTTCAAAAGTTTAGTCAATGGTTGACTGAGTTTACTAAAATTTTGAATAAATCTCCGATAATAACCGGCTAGTCCTAAGAAAGCTTTAATATCCTTTGGATTTCTTGTTACTGGATAATTTTTTACAGCTTCTATTTTCTTCGGATCAGGTTTAACACCATCTTGAGTAATTAAATGACCCAAATACATAACTTCCGTTTTCAAAAATTCACATTTATCCGGTTGGAGTTTTAAACTATGTTGTGATAATCTATCAAAAACTTATTTTAATTTCATATTGTGATCTTGTAAGGAACTACCGTAAATAACAATATCGTCATGATATACAAAACATTTAATTCCTTGTAAACCTACTAAAACATTATTCATCAGTCTTTGGAATGTTGCTGGTGCATTTTTTAAACCAAAAGGCATCTGGTATATTCGTAATGTCCTAATGGTACACTAAAAGCTGTTTTTGATTGATCTTTAGGGCTCATTTTTATTTGATGAAAGCCTGACGCTAAATGTAAGGTTGTAAAATATTTACTATGACCTAACTGATCGAGTATGTCATTTATTTGAGGTAGTGGATACACATCTCCAATACTTATTTCATTTTACTTTCTAAAATCTATGACAAGCCGCCACTTCTTTTTCCCGGATGCGTCCATTTTTTTTGGGACCACCCATACAGGTGAATTCCAAGGACTATTTGATGGTTGAATAATTTCATCTTTTAATAATTTACTTATTTGTTCATTAACTTCTTCTTTAAGTGCTTCTGGATACCTATATGACTTTGTATTGAAAGGAATGTTACTATTAGTAGGTATTTCATGCATAACAGTATTTCTTGACGTTAACCTATCTCCTTCTTAATAAAATATATGATTATACTCTTGACATAATTCTATTAAAGATTCTTTTTCCTCCTTATTCAAGTGGTCCGTACGTAAAGTTTGTTTTAACTTATGTAAACGACTTCCTTTGTATGTTTCATCATTCTTAATTTTATTTATATTAATTATCTCATTCGTCCCTTGTTTATTATCTTCATTATCATTAACTTTGTTTATACTAATTAACTCATTAGCTAACGGTTCTAATTTAACAAACAAATTATTTATTTTCACTTCCTTATCTGTCGTATTCAAACATACTGTTAATGCCTTGTTATTCTCAACTTTTACAATGCTTGGACATAAATACACACCATCTGATATCTTAATTTTATCTAGTATTAGTCCCTCTTTCAAATTAGGGTTCTTTATTGAAATAGAAATCACTTTTTCACATCTTGGTTCTATGACAAATAAAATATTTTCATGATTCTTTTCATTACTAAAGTTTTGTGGATGAACTTCACAAATTTTTTCATATCTATTATTTTCATTACACATATCATGTTTTAATACCTGTGGCTGAACTTCACAATTTTCCTTACATACTTTATTTCAAATACTTCTTTCATTTTTTAATACTTGTGGATAAACTTCACAATTTTCCTTACATACTTCATTTCCAATATTTCTTTCATTTTTTAATACTTGTGGATAAACTTCACAATTTTCCTTACATACTTCATTTCCAATATTTCTTTCATTTTTTAATACTTGTGGATAAACTTCACAATCGCTTTCGAAAACATTACTTCCTAAATCTTCATAACACATATCATCACTTTTATTTCCTTCATCATAAATATTATCTTGTATACCTTTTTTATTCATATTCCCTTTTAAATCTTTACTTACAAAAATTTCTTTATGTTCAATATTCATTTCTATACCACATATTCTTATTATATTTTCTTTATAATTTATTATCGAGTCCGTCTTTGACAAGAAATCGCTACCTATGACGCCATTACATTTAATAGGAAAGCTATCAGGTACCACGTGAAGTGTCTGATAAACTCTTTTGTCACCTATATTGAATGTTAAATAGGTACAACCGATTATTTCGGTTGGGTTAGCTTCCTTATCGATTTCTTTTAGTTTGATTTTCTTATCTTCATATATTAATGTTTCTCCTTCTAACGACGTTATTTTTATTAATGTTACTTCTGCCCCTGTATCGATTAAAAACCTATTTCTGTCCTCTAATATACTATCCGACTCTAAATATACGTAAGACGAAATGTGCGTATCTATAAACCTTATTCGGCCTGGATTAATTTTGTGGTCCTCGGGTTGGCCGCGGGCCTCGGACCGTTTGAGTTTAAATGTTCATTTTCGTTGCTCCTATTATTATTTATTTGCCTATTATTATGAGTGTTCCAACTATTGCTCGGACGATTAAAACGATTATTCTGAGAGGGTTGGTAGTTATTACGATTATTATTACGATTATTCGCGTTCGGATTGTTCCAACATTCTTTAGCTACGTGGCCTTTTTTATGACAACGAAAACAAGTAGGTATATTGCTATTTCTTTGGTTTGGCTGTATATGCCTGATCATTGGTGGATGTCTACATTGATGTGCTAAATGATTTAATTTATTACAATTTGTACATCTTTTGATTCCTGAATTATTATAATACTGTTTAGTGCTCATCTCTTGCCTAGATTTAATTTCTTGCTCTTCTGAAATCGCTATCGAGACAGCATCTTCAAAAGTAGAGGGTTTTTGAGATTTTAATAAAATATGAAGTTGTGGTAGAAGACCACTGATAAAAATGTTTAAGGCTTGTCTTTTTAATAATTCTATATTTGCTTCGCGAACTTCTTTCGTTAATTTTGAGTCTAAAGATTTAATTAACTTTATATAACAGTTCTCGACTCTACTGGAATATTTTGAAATTGATTCGTTTTGACCCTGTCTGCATGAATTTAATTCGAGTTGCCATTGTGCAAAGGTTCTTTTTTCCGAATAGTTTTCTAGTAAATGTTCTTTTAAACTTTCCCATGACGAAAAAGACCTGTTTAATAATGTCGACCTAATATTTCCTTTAATTTTAGATAGAACTACTGACACGAATGCTATTTTATAAACCGGATTCAATAGAGCGAATGCCTTATTGCAATTGTCTATGAACACGTGTAAATTTGCCTTATCGCCATCGTATTTATTTATCATTCTTTCCGCTAAGCTTATGTCTATAAATCCACCAGAAACTTTATTTTCTGAATTATTCATTTTAAATAATTATTTACTTGATTCTACAAAGACAATTTAATAATCTGAAATAATCGTATAAAATTCTATAACCTCTTAATTTTCTTTAAAAATTCTTAACTATTTACTATAAAAACGTCTACACAACTCTATATAAAAATCTATTATTCACTATAATATACAACAATACACAATATAACAACAATTATACTACTCACTTGAGTTCGTAGTTGATATACTGCGGAGTTCTTTGTCCGGTCTGCTATTTCGGGTCGCGTTGAAGCGTAGCGTTGCACGTAGTAGCTTGAATGCTGCCGAAGATCAATTGGCTCGTTGCAGAGGTTGCGGTACTGGCTGGACCAGTGAAGAACCACACACCACGTGATGCTCAGCTGATGTGCTCGCCGATTAATGTCTTCAATTTCGTTGCTGCCAAGGGTTGTCGACTAGTTGTCGATCGCCTTGCTTTGTCTTTTGACTCCTCGTACTCCAGTACGTTATGAAACGTCTTGAAACTGGATATCCACCGTCCAAGTATTCTTCAGGAATAAAGGGACTCTAATATTTCAAAAGCCCTTTGCTATCCCACTTCTGACACCAAAATGTAATGTTCGGTGGTCAGGAGGGGTCTTGAGATACAAACAGCAGCGTGACGTTGATAGATATTTATTTATCACACGACAGTTAACTATAACTTTAAATTATAACTTTCTTACTTGCTATACTGTAGCTGACTCGGAGGTCCGAAGGAACTCAAGGATCTCAAAGAACTAACTAACATTATGGGTGGAGGACATTATAAACCAATACAAATGTAAACACATTTGGGAAAAGTAAACAAACAGTCTCTGGACTCTACACTCATTAACAATTACTGGAAATTTGATAATTCTAAATGTTGTTTATATAACATTAAAGAACAATAAGTCTAAATGATCAATGAAATCTTTGATATAATATTAATCTTTGATATAAATTAAAGTACAATTGATTAAAAATATGTAAACATTACAGTTATACTGTAGTGATTATTAATCAAAAGTTGCGTTATCGTCATTATTAAAACTTCATTTAGTAAAACCCAACTTTGGTTAAATTAGAGGATTTTGGATACAAATTTTACGTATATTATATATTAACACCTCCAGGTAAATTTCTAAAAAAATAATTAAATTTCTAAGAAATCTATTGTTAACTGTAACGCCGGGCGTGTCCGCTAGTGATGTGCCAACTCGGAAAAAAAATAACTCGAGTTAACACGAGTTGAAATTCACGTAACTCGAGTTGAACTCGAGTTAACTGGATGAAAAATGAAGTGAATGATTTGTTTTGCTTGTACCAATTTAATGACTCGGCTTCGCAACAATATTAAAAAAATGGTACGGAATTTAAATAAATATTTATTAGGACAATTATAATTATTTATATTTTTTATATTTATTTATTTATATTATTACTAGCAAAACCCGCGGCTTCGCTCGCGCTAAAACTCCAAAAAAACATTAAAAAGGTAGGTTTAATTTTACCCCCTTACGGGATAAATTTCGAAGAATGCTAAAACATATATTTATTTAATTGTATTGAAGAGCGTTAATACCAAGTTTCAAGTAATTCTGATCATACATATTTTTTTGGGTTGTATTATAACGTGTTTCCCCGTGGAAATGAGATAATCTTCCGCGGTAAAAAGTAGTCTATACCACTCTCCAGCCCTCCAACTATGAACTATTTTCACCCAAGAAATTACCCCAGTCCGTTACTCCGTTTCGACGTGAAAGAAGGACAAACAAACAAACATACTTTCACATTTATAATATTAGTATGGATATTATAACTCTGTCATTCGGTTGAAACGCTATGACGGGAGTACGGACGACAGCGATTAAGTTAAATACTGTGGCATCTTATTCGGTTGTAATAGGAGCGATTTTGCAACATAAATGTATGGTCTGAAGTGCTGACGACTGCACAAAACATGAACAAAACGAACGAATTACCGCGTTTGTGTAAGGTCAATCGCGTACTTGCTTAATTCGTTCACTTCCCACGCAAATCCAATTAGAGTCAGAGAGAATTCAACTCGAGTTAATTCGAGTTAAGCCCAACTCGAGTTAACTCGACCTAGTAACTCGAGTTGACACATCTTTAGTCCCACCGGAGTATGAGAGTGACAGGAATAGAGAGTGCACTTGTGTCTGCGCGTACACTTGTGCACTATAATATTATCTCTTGCGCAGTTTGCTAATCTCAATGAGATTCCCGTGGGAGTGAGATAATCTCCTGCGATGAAAAGTAGCCTATGTCACTTTCCAGCTCTCCAACTACCTCCACACAAAAATCACGCCAATCCGTCACTTCGTTTCACTGTGAAAGAAGGACAAACAAACAAACAAACTTTTACATTTATAATATTAAGTATGGATATATTTTCCATTTAATAACGGTTCATGCCGTCTATAGACATTGTCTTTTTTTAATTCGTCCTTATATACTTTTTTTTTATTAATTATTATAAATATTTAACAATATCAACTAATTTTCAAAACGCAGCATTATATTTACAAAACAATATATAACTTTATAAATGACACGGGCAGTATTTTTCTGTTATTTGACACACATTTTTATAATGCTTGGTTTTCGGAAGTCCATCAACGATTGTATATTAGGTGAGTATTAAATTCATAAATATGGTTAAAATAATATGTATTTAATAGGGCTCTCAGTGTCGTTATATTTACTAGTCCTGGGAAAAAACAAGACTCGGTGTGGTCTCGAAATTCACGGGTAAAAGGAGACTTTTGGGACTACTTCAAAAGTAGGTATCATACTAATAAGCGATACAAGGTATTTCAATAAAGTACTTTATTAATCAGATTGTTATAAAGTTTATAGTTTATAGTCAAATAAATACAAGTAAAATTAATAAATATTTAAGAGATATTTTTTTATTTTTACAGTGTGCACGTAAAAACAAAAAGTACCTATTTTATGTACTTTCATTTGATTTTATGAAAAAATTACCCGCGTTAGAAAAAGCCCTCTTTGCTTCTACGCTAGTATTAGATAGGGGATATATATTATACATATTTATACATAAGCAATGGTTAAGTATTTCCTTCTATAATCCATTATCTTATTCAAACTGTCTCGGTGATGTAGTGGCTAGCATGTACGGCTGCACACCTGAAGGTCCTGAGTTCGAGTCCCGGGTCGGGCCAAGTTTAGTTATTGAGTCTTTCTGTATAGTAAGTTTCAGTAACAGCCCGGAGTTGGGAAGTTGGCGGTGTTTCACCCCCGTGCCTCGGAGAGCACGTAAAGCCGTCGGTCCTGCGCCTTAACTCTCACGTCCCACCAGAGTATGAGAGTGATAGGAATAGAGAGTGCACTTGTGTCTGCGCGTACACTTGTGCACTATAATATCTCCTGCGCAGTTGGCTAGTCTCAATGAGATTGGCCGCCGTAGCCGGAATCGGCTAGGAGAACATCATCATTACCTTATTCTAAGTTTTATTTCACAGTGCTGCCACGTAACTGAAATAAAAAATACTGGTGGTTTCAGCCCCTCATCTTCAATTTTTTAGAGGCGGGGCAAAAACTGAAAAATGCCGCCCCCGCCCCCCTATATTTTTACCTTTATCATCATCATTAAATAAAACTATCTTTTCGGATTATTTCGCGGATTTATTTTGATTTTTGGTTCCCGACGTTTTCCACCACCATCCTTCACAGTTAGCTACCGTGGGAAAATCTTTGTGTCAGAGAGCGCGCGGGATCTGTGACGAGCAACACCTGGCCGGAGAACTGCAACATGTCAAGCAAGTTCTGCGTGACAACAAGCTGCAAGTGCCGCGCCTGCGTCACAGTGACCGAGTGAAACCAGCCACAGACGAGCGCGTCCCTGCAGTCTTGCCATACATGAAAGGAGTCACTGACAAGATTGGCTACATTCTAAAGCGAGCTTCAATTAAAACTTACTTCAAGCCGTCAAAGAAAATTAGTCAGTTCTTACCACCTGTCAAGTGCCACATCCCTCTACAAGATGCAGGAGTTTACAAGCTTGATTGTGATTGTGGGCTCTCTTACATTGGACAAACAAAGCGATCCATTAGAACCCGGGTCAAAGAACACGTAGCTGATGTGAAGCACCGTCGCAATACAACATCTGTTGTCTGCAAACATAGCCAGGACCACCCAAGGCATTATATTCGTTTCGATAGACCTCAAATCCTGGCGAAAGAAAACCGATATCGCCCTAGAATGATTCGAGAAGCCATAGAAATTAAAAAACATCCAAATTTCAATAGGGAAGATGGCTGGGTACTACCATCGTCATGGGATCCTGTTATTAATATAATAAAATCAAATAATATATATAAACATAACAGACAGGTAGATGTAGTAAGTTCATACTGTGTAGATCAAAATGACAGCTTATCAGATTAATATTTTTCATTTTTCATTTGTAAAAGTATATATTAATAGTGTTTCTTAGTAAGTTGTTTTTAAATAATAGCAAACTAAATTAAAATTATTATTCTTAATTAATTTTAACTTTTTAAATTACATTGCTTAAATAATTAATACTATATTTTATATTTTTCTTTATGGTTATAAATATAATAATGGCAACACTAAATATAGATTACTAATTAATATTTTTAAAATTGTAATAATTATAAAAATAATAGCAAAAATTAAATAAATAATTTTCCATACTCAATTATAATTAAAATTATAAAAATGTTTAAAGTTAAAAAATATTGTAATGTAATTGGTGCAATTTTCATTTTGTTAATTGTGGGTAGGCTGTCTGTAACAACTATACCTTCAAGACATGTAACACTTCAGTCTCTCCCGTGACCATGGATGCTGTAAAGCATTCGAAACGTCGGGAACCAAAAATCAAAATAAATCCGCGAAATAATCCGAAAAGATAGTTTTATTTAATAATGTCAAACATTCGCGTAAATCTAAGAAAGTATTTTATCATCATCGTCATTTCAGCCATCAGACTCCCACTAATGGACATAGGCCTTCCGAAAAGAATGCTATAAGAACCTATCTAGCGTTGCTCTTTCTGTGTTAAGCCTATTTATCTGTACTGATATTATTAAGAGGCAGTCTGTTTGTTTGTTAGTTAGTTAGTCTGAACGCGCTTATCTCAGGAACTACTAATCCGATTTGAAAAATTCTTTTTGCATTAGATAGCCCGAACATCGAGGAAGTTTAATAAACTATATACATATAATCATGCTACTACTCAAGGGAGCGGAGCAATAATCATAAATGTCAACAAATCGGGCAGACTTTCATATATTATTGTAAAGGGAAGGGAAAGAAGAATATGTTTTTTTTGTATTCAAAATACACGTGGGCGAAGCCGCGGGTTTTGGTAGTGTACAAAAGTACGTACGTACATGGACGTGTAGGACATATTTATTATTTAGGATAACACAGGATAGGGTATGAAATAAAACGTAATATTAAAAATAAAAATCAATTTAGTATATTATTGTATTGCAAATTGAAATTATAATTTAACTCTTCGAGCCTTTTGCTCTGCAAACAAATCTATGGCACACACAACTTATTAAATTTAGTAATATTTAGCCAGCGGAAGGTTTTGGTTTTGACTTTTTTGTAGGCATTATTAAGCTCTACAACTTTTCTCTAGAACATAATCATATATCTCTCATCGTTAAGGCAGCGTTCGTAAGAAACATTTTCGTTCGACTGTTTTTTCTCCGACTTACTTTGCCAATCCGATTACCATGAAAAAGTCTTCTCATTCTTCGGGTTAATATAAAGCCTATGACACTCAGAAAGAACGGGGCTTTGTATTGGTAAAAGAACTTTGAAAATCGGTTCAGTAGATCCAGATATTACCCCCTACAACATCACCAACTCACAATATCACAAACTTTACCTCTTTATAATATTAGTATAGATAGATAAGTTCTTTTTGGCTCCGCGAAAAATTACTATTATTGTATTTAAAGTACTGGACGTTTCAGTGGTCAAAGTTGCGTTAATGATGAGTAGTGTATTCGTCTGTCAAGTATGAATTTGCCGCCCCCTGAAGTTGCCGCCTGGGGCATGGGCCCCGGGTTGCCCCCCCCCCCCTAGATCCAGGCCTGGGTGGTTTAGTAGATTTTTGAATAATGGTAATTGTTCGACTTAAGTCTCAAAAATCTCGCTATTCTCGAGACTGGAGGTAGTAGTCTCGAGTCTCGAAAATTCAAATAAAACCGCCGAGACTCGAAATTTGGGAGACCGAGATTCCCGGGATGAAAGCCCTAAAGGTCTATTGCATTTAAGCTCTGTTTTTTCAGATAAAAGTAAACATCTCTAACCACCAAAGTTTTATAGGTGTACAGGCTTATCTGTAAAAATATTTTTTTACATGCCGCTAGTTTAGTTAAAGTCATCGAGTGCCATCGTACAACCTCTTTGGTTTTCAGCCTGGCAAGGCAGGGAAAAGTATGACGACGAATATTTTTGACGTTTGGGCGGGACGTATGATTTTCTCGTGTTGTGTATATAAATTTTATTTATTACTGACAATTTATATATACATATAATAAAACTGTAGATGTCGAATGTCTATACATAGAAAGAAATGCTAAAAACCGAGTCAGAGGAATGTAGGAAGAGAAATAGAACAAATCCAGATTTTTTCAAATTTCTTGTTTCTCTATTTGTCTATCTGTTTGTACGGGCTAATCTCCGAAACTGTTGAACCGATTTAAATGACATTTTGCATGGTGATACCTTATGTCCCTGGTAAATATTTTAGATACCTTTCAACCTGGAAAATTAAAGAGTTCCCGTGGGATAGTTTAAAAACTGTAGTAATTTATACAGCTTAGTACACAAAAACTACTTATTGGATTTTAATGAAACTTTACAATAATATATGTAGTTCATACATCAGAATAACAAATAGGCTACTTTTTATTCGGAAAATTGTACTGTTCCCGTGGGATAGATTTGTTTGTGTTTGTCTAGAGGCGAACCCGAGCGAAGTGAAGGTGAGCCTTTTAGTAACGATTAAAACAGGAAAAATGTTTCATTGTTTTACAATTTCATTTCCACAAGTATGAAATATATAAAAACTTTTTAACAAAAAAATAAAAACCGACTTCAAACAAAAGCACTAAAAAGTAAAAAATAACTGATTGGTAGTTTTCATTTACTATACATACCTAATCAAATATTTTTGAAGTCGGTGTGCTTTGGCTGAGTAATTAAAGCCTACCTATTAAATACATACCTAATCAAATATTTTCGAAATCGGTACCAGCCCATACAAAGCAAAGCACACCGACTTCGAAAATATTTGATTAGGTATGTATAGTAAATGAAAACTACCAATCAGTTATTTTTTACTTTTTAGTGCTTTTGTTTGAAGTCGGTTTTTATTTTTTTGTTAAAAAGTTTTTATTTTTCCCTTTTTAGTGTAGACAGTAGTAGCAAAGTAAGGATTCTAACGTGTTAGGCTTGTCAAATCAAACAAAATAAGCCCAAACTCAAAGTATCTACTATTAGCCGTTGAAGAGTTCCACCTATCCACCTTCTGGCCTTGCCATCAGATCAGGTCAACAACACCGAACCACTGTACTATCAACGGAAATAGAAATACTTGCAAAGTTTCAAGTCAATATGACAATTAGAAGTAGGTTAAATTCATCATTAGTTGTTTTTCCGCCCTTAGGGATGGTATTTTTTTTTGAAATTTAAATGGGACCAATCTGAAAGTATGCCCTTTCAAACAAAACAAAAATTGTCCAAATCGGTTAATAAATGACGGAGTTCTGAGGTAACAAACATAAAAAAAAAAAAAACATACAGTCGAATTGAGAACCTCCTCCTTTTTGAAGTCGGTTGAAAATACAATATACACTCAATATAATAATACGTAACATATACTTTTAATCTATACATATAATAAAATTGTAACCAAGCCGAATCTGTACATAATATATTTTTTTAGAAAATCTTTTTGAAATACACATTATTATCGATACAGAGGCCGAATCTATAGTTTTAAGAATTTTTGTCTGTCTGTCTGTTTGTGACCGCATCACGGAAAAACCACTGGAGGGATATTGATGAAATTTGGTATGATGATAGCTGGTTACCCGGGTCAACATGTAGGATACTTTTTACTGCGAGAAAATATCTCATCTCTGAGAAATCTATACTAACCGTTAATCGCTAATTGCTAAATAATATTGTAAATTTTATTATATATATACGTATTTATACTTAGTTATTTTAAAAATTGTGATATAAATAAAATAATAATAGTAATTGGTAGTAAATAAATAATTTACCCAAAAGTGTTTAAAGCACGAAAAATGGTTGCGCTGCGCAGAGAAAGCTCAGGGCGGTTGCGTGCGGGGCGGGCGGCCAGCGAGCGCAAATAGCGGCAGCGCGCAGTCGACTCGCTGTCGGCCAGTCCGCGATCGCACGCTGTCGGTGCTCCGCAGCGTGCACTATCCCATACACGTCCACTATCCCGTACGAGATCGCGTGCAACTTGCCCACACGTAACATCCCGCTCAACGCTCGCTCGATACCTTTCGGAACCCTTGTCGGTGTGTGCTTCAAGTTTACTGTGATAGTGTAGTGTAACCGTCTCCCGTGAAGAATTTTAGTCCAAATTTTCGTTCACTGTCACTGCACTAGAAACATTTGGAATTAATTGTGAGCTTACTTACTTAATCACCTGATAGTCTTCCTCAAGGTCACACAAGGAGGTAAACACTTTATGTATCTACGCCAAGTTTCCAGCATCTTTAGCGGCCACTACTCATAGATCCCTATGATAAACAAAATATCACTATAAGTATACTAGTGAATGTCAAATATTAAAAAAAATATATTTTTTATTTAGAAAATTGTTGCTCAGAGCCGCATGAATTTGCATCGATTGGTGTAAGTGCATGACAGCCAGTGACCCATTTTCGCAGCTAAGATACTTGAAAATTCAACGTTTGGCAATAGGTACGTGTAACTGTTTTGGCCGATGTAATCTAATCACGTTCATTTAAAAAACAAATGAATTTTATCTTACGAAAAGTACAAGAATAGCTGTTCTAGTATTCTTTCAGTACCTACATTTTCGTCACTGAAAGCTATTTCGTTTTGTAGAATTACGAAACGTTACGACAAGTTTTTGGATTATGTTCACATTTTTAACTTACAAAGTACCGCAGGAAGATTGTAAATAATATTTTAGGTCATATGTACCTATACATATACAATACAAATAGGTATAATCAACATTTTTTTTAAATCATGTCATTTATTTTACTTGCTTTGCATACTTATTATTAAAGACGGATATTCATTTTTGTACATAGAATTTAAAATAAATTTAGTCTCCTTTCATGGATTGTAAAGAAACGTGAAATTTCAAGATAGTTTTAATATCAGAGGTGCAAGCGTCACACTTTACGTAATATCTGACTTATGTATATATTCTTTTTTATCGAAGAGGTAGTTCTGATACTTTTCATTAATACTTGTAATATCCAAAACATGCTAGAGTTTTTACTAAATGAGTACGGGGAAATTGTTTCATATACCGCTTTAATTACTGGCGTCGTCGTCGTGGTACTATTGTGCATGCAGGTTGTAAAGCGCTTCATTAGATGAAATTGTTGATTAATTTTTTCATTTTTCGTCTTCAAAAGGTTTTCTATTAATCACAATGGGGTAAATTTCTTCACAATAAACATTATTTAACTGTGTAATACTAACAAAGCACATGATTATTTATTGAGCCTTTGGTCTACACTAATATTATAAAGAGGTAAAGTTTGTGAGTTTGTGAGATTATGAGTTTGTGACGTTGTAGGGGGTAATCTCTGAACCGATTTAGGTAAAATTTGGTAAGAAGGTAGTTTGAGACCCTGGGAAGGACATCGGATTTTATTAGGAGACACTTTTTATCCCGAAAATATAATAAATGGGGATAAAAGTTTGTACGGGGAATCAAGCTAGTATTGTATAAAGTCAGGATCATGTCAGGATCCATATTTAAATCTCTAGTATTATATAAAGCTAATAAATAATTACGAGGATCTATTTACAATTTAATTAAAAATACAAAATTAAAATAAAGGATAGATAAAAGCCAGATCCCACGATTTCCGAGTACATATTATTCTAAAGAATTTTTTTTTAAATGTTTATTTTATTTAACCTGATTATGAGGACAATACCTATGTATTTATCTTTACACTTTTCATCTTTACACATAAGAGAAAAAAAATAATTTAAAATTTCTAAAGTTCATTTGAATATAAAAATCTCTTATTTTATATTTAAAAATTCTCGCGAGCTTCACAATTTTTTACCAAAAAGTTTGTAATCGACCCATACGTTACTGTTCTTTATAAATATAAAAGTAAGATAGACAGTTAAGTTAAGAAAATTAACATACATACATAAATGTATTAACTTGACTCTACATCTCACCGCTAAGGCTCTAACTGCACTGCACTAATGCTATTAACAACTTTTTGCAAAATGCATATAGGTAGTCCAAAGAGAACTACGTCATATACACATGTACCGGGAAAAGTCCATGTCAGGATCCATATTTAAGAAGGACAAGAAAAAACTATAAAAACGTTTTCACATTTATAATATTAGCAAGGATATGATATTTTTAAATAAAACAATCTTTTCGGATTATTTCGCGGATTTATTTTGATTTTTGGTTCCCGACGTTTCGAATGCTTTACAGCAACGGGAACCAAAAATCAAAATAAATCCGCGAAATATACCGAAAAGATAGTTTTATTTAAAAATGTTAAACATTCGCGTAAATCTAAGAAAGTATTAAGGATATGATACTTGTCCTCTATTATTTGATAGACGTAATATTTATAACTAATTAATTATTATAAGGTTTACCCTTTGTATCTGGGGGCACGACAGTGCCCTCGCCAAGTTGAGCAAAAAACAGGGCACAGTCGTACCATCGTTTTCTCGAAGCCATTCAGGACATTTTGACAGCCATTGGCGACACGTTTGGCTTAGTTTGTAGTGACCATACTTGCTAAGCCAGCGATCGCGGGTTTGAGTACCGCTAGGGACATTCATTTGTGTAATGAGCACAAATGTTTGTACTCCTGTCATGTGTGTTTATATTTATAATATTTATGTATTTAAAGTTATATACATAATTATGTGTAGGGTATCAGCTATCTGGTATGCATAACACAAGGCTCGTAGCTTACCATGGAACTAGATGGTGCTGTGTGTTAATGTACCCCAACATATTTATTTTATTTATTTATTTTCGACCCCCCTGTAACACATTCCACTGTTCCACAACGATGTGGATAAAGCTGAAAGACTGAATTTTCAATGAGTAAGAAGATATGATATAACTAGGTATGAATAATCCCAAATTACATTAAATTTGAACTTGCACATTAAGAATTATTGCATATTGAAAATATCTTACTAGGAATCTATACTAAATGAAAACCCCCGTTTACTTATTTTTTACTTTTTAGTGTCTGAAAGGTGGTTTTTAATATTAAGTATTTATTTGATTCTAAGAAACGGAAGTACCTATATTAAAAAGTGCGAAAAATAATAATTTACCTTAAATTTATTAATATACTAGCAGAACCCGCGGCTTCGCTCGCGCTAAAACTACAAAAATATCTCAAAAAAGACAGGTTTCAAACAAACTTTTATCCTCTATTTTACCCCCTTTTAGGATGAATTTCGAAAAATACTAAAACACGTATTTATTCATTTATACTGAAGAGTATTAATACCAAGTTTCAAGTAATGCTGATCACAAATAATTCTTTGATTTGTATTATAACGTGTTTTCCCGTGGGAATAAAATAATCTCTCGCGGTAAAAAGTAGGCTGTGTCACTCTCCAGCCCTCCAACTATCTTCACACAAAAAATCACGTCAATCCGTCTCTCTGTTTCGACGTGAAAGAAGGACACACAAACAAACAACCAAACAAACAAACACACTTTCACATTTATAATATTAGTATGGATAATATGCATTACATGCAATACGAAAAGACTACAATATTGATTTAACTTGTAAACTGTTACCTATTACCATTACAAGATATGTATGTATATATAATATAACTACAAATTAATAATTATTATGATATTGATTTTCGAATGTGAATAGTACCGATATATTGCTTCGGTGAAAAAATTCCTACAGACTGTTTTTTAATACTTGGTTTGATTACCGTGCCTGGAACACGATTTTATTTATTTTAACGACGCAAATAATTATGGACTATCACACATTGTACCTTCTTGTTATTACAGTACGAAAATCACTAGTCTTTAGATATGTAACATTATATGTATTATTATACACTATATATGATATAATATAGACCTATTACATAATGGAGTCCCAAGTATCAGACTAAAGAAAATAAATAATAATATAATGAATTTTACCTGCCTTCTTGTGCCCTAATTATACTTATTATTCAAATTGAACGCGTTTTATATCGCTAAAGAAAAAGCTAGGCGGCCTAACTAAAAAAGCCAATCGAATCGCAAAGTTAAGCTCACAGTAAGCCTAAAAATACTAAAGTGTGAAAGTTTGTGAGTGTGTTTGTTATTTCTTCTCACTGTACCGTGTGTTAGCTTTATCGATTTGAGTAAAATTCGGAATGGACATCGCTTAAGTCCCAGATGCTGCACACACTTATAGCACGCACACACACACACACGCACGCACACGCACACGCAGGCCAATATAATATTTCTATTAATTTCATAACATTACAAAATTTGCCTATAGTTTTACATTTATAGTTATCAATATTAAATAGGTAATAAATATGTATATACATATATACGTCCAAAATATAGTTTATTCGTTTAACTCTTGCGTGACTTTGTGGTGTATACAGGGTATTTTAGATTTCAAGGGTTTTCCCAAATAAAATTGTACTATTGAAGAAATTAAAGAAACCAATTCGGTCTACAATTGCTTCATAGATTTGTCTGATTAATTTTATTCTAATATGCATCAAAAATAACATGTTAATTATTTTATCGAAGTACTAGTAACATTCCCTCGCTTTGCTGGGGTACATCCCAAGGTGCTTAACAGTAGCCTATGTGTTACTCCAGGTCATAGTCTGTCATCTGTGCATTTATTTCACCAAAATCTGCCCAGCCATTTTAGCGCATAGAAGAGACAGACACAGAAACAAACTTTCGCAATGAACTCTTGAAAATGAAACCTGATTGATATAAATGAATGGATTATTTTAATAAAATAACTATTTATGATATTCGTATTGAAATTCATAAGTTCGTTCAATCGAGTTGAAAATAATAGGCATGTGACGACTATCGCGACCGTTTCAAAGATAAGTGGCAGCGTGCATAAAGTATTTGTAAAGCGGATATTGATCGCTAGACGGCGAGAACAAAGGCATCGCCTCGCTTACCGCCACTGGCTGGTTGTAGGGCGCAGTATTAGGGCAACAGGTTCACCGTAACAGGTACTAAGTTTCAAAAA